TTTTCGAAAAAAGAATCTGAGGTGAAGTGGATACTACATATGACGCTGTAAGGAGAAGGTCCACCCCAACCTTTTCTCGTTGTTTTCACGGCTTTCGTCTACTGACGTCGCACCTTCGGATCGTTTGGAAAAGTGTGAATACTTACACTGTGACTATACGTATTACTGCAACCGCCCACAACACAACGTTTAACTATCACAAACGTTTGTTCTGAAAACAACTTCTAAAAACTCTCTATCTCAAAAAAAAAAAAATGCCGACCGAAAAATGTATATCGTTTAAAAGTATGTTGAATCACGCAGTGTTATATAAGTACAGCTCAGGAGTATGGCTTCCTCTCATATTTTGGCATTTGGTGGCGCACTTTCGGCGAGAGTCGGAAATCCGGAAACAGTCGACCGTTTCAGGATAGGTGGGCGTGGCTACAGCACGAGATATATCTTAAATTTACTTGGATAGGAGTAACCATTTTGACAAAAAAAAATCAATAACTGCCCACTTCAGTAGGACACGGATCTAAAATAGTTAACGTGAGAGTGGGCATTGCACAGGCACTTTAAACCTTTATAAATGGAACACTGCATAAACTAAATAATATTTCAATTCCCAGGAGTTTGGTTTAGACAGGTTTCAGTATAAAACTTCTATAAAACTCTGTAAACTGAACAATTTTCACAGTCCCTTTGTTGGTCAGCTTAAACAGGTTTCACTTTGAAGTTTGAAGGTGATGACAATATATTTAAAAAATAATTCTAAATTTAAACCATGGAAGCATAGCAACACAGTACTTTTCATTCAATCATGCCACAGCCACAGCCTTCACATTGATGAAACAAATCAGCAATGAATTGTTTGTGACGTATTTGCTGCAGTGAGTTCGAAAGTGAGGCTTGGAAAACAAATAAGTCAGCAATGAATGAATGAAGCAATACTTTAAATTCATTTACCGTAGTTCCCTGAGCATAAGCCCACCCCTCTGTTTTTAGACATTTAACGAGTTGAGGGCATCCCTGAGTATTGGCCTAAGGTGTTTTTACCGGGCGTCGACGACATATGCATGTGAAAAGTGTATTTCATTGCATAAAAATCATGATTGGTACAGTAGTTTGGTTTCTAATTCGCATGGCGGGCGAACATATGGAACATTGTTCGCACCTTCTCTATTCTCTTATTTACTCAGGATTAACCCCGATGTTACATTAATGAAATACTCCATATTTCTTTTGAGTAGTAGTTTTCAAAATGTCAAAAATGTGATCGTCAAGTCGTGAAACCTGGTCATTGAACATTGTTTTACTTTTCCGAATAATGGTGTCCATTGAGACTATCGTGAGTGGGGTGGGAAAGAGCAAACTATTCTTCGACATGACTTGTTTGCGACTGTGAAAGGTTTATACTTCCTCCACCCTCAGTTTACTTTTTGAAAATTGTCAATCAACAGCTTTTAGGGGAAAAAAATCACAGTTTTTTGTCGAAATCAGTGTTAACAGATCGCATTTGAACATCACGGTATTTCACTTCCGCATTGCGATGGAAAAAATACATCGTCAATAATCGGGAAAACTTCGTCTGTACGACAGAACATTTTGATTGGTTAACGAATGACATGACCTGTTAGGTCAAAGGAAGTTGTTCAGGTCAAATCATGATAAAAAACACCATGGCGGAAATTGCTTTGTGTTGAGAGGTTGCGTATGATCGAAAACATTCCACAACGAAGATAATGATAAAGATCTTGCCTTTGACTGTTTTCCCACAGATCCAAATAATTTCTACACTGTAAATTCAGATGGTATGTAAACTGTATTGTAATAAAACGTGTGTATTTTTATGAACATGTTTGTTTCTTCATTTTAAAAAGTGTCATGGAAATCAATGATGACTCGTTTCGTATTTTTTTCCTGCGAGACCGGTGCCGTGAACGAAATGTGTAATTTGAATAATTATTCGTAATTGGGAAGATGGTTACAATTTTAAACCCCCTAAAAAATTATCTTTTCTGAGGTGGTCCTTGAGTATAAGCCCACCCCCTAATTTTCCTGATTTTACATGTTCAGGCCCCTGGGCTTATACTCGGGGAAGTATTGTAAAATATTGTAGATCATACATCATCTACCAAGGAAATAGTAATATCATAATATCTACTCACCAAAATGTTTTCATACAGGCATCACATGCATTGTATTCACTATCTGGGAAGGTAAAAGAAGAAAAAAAATTAAACAATAGAGAACAAGTTTTCAGTTCCTGGCAAGACGTGCATTTTGTGCATGTTTTCTAATACTCGTTGCAAAGTACTAAATACACATGTGACAACATAAAAATGACTTTTTCTCTCAGCACACTCAGAAATGGGATCCTGTTTCCATGGAGACACTAAGTTAAAACAAACAACCAGGTTACCAGAGTTAAATAAAAAGTAATTCATGAGGTTTCTGAGTCATGTGACTTACATGCACAGAAACACACACTTTAATAATAATAAGAACAGCATGATAATGAAATGGGAGATGGTAACCATGGTGATATCAGTCATGAATGTAAAAAGCCACATACTTTATATTTTTCTATCCAAATACATCATTTCATATCAGTACATGTATCAATATTTTTATTTTAAATGTGACACTGGTTTTAAATCGGGTTACAGGAAGTAATGGCGAGACTATCTTAGCAAAAACCTGGAAACTAAGTTTTATGTTGCTATGGAAGGTTTTTTTCAATATATCATTATTCAAACCTCATTCATGTCTTGGATATCGTAACCTGGATACAAGAAGTGTCTCTGCCTCTTGAGGGATTACAACGTGATGCATTATTGGTACAGTATAGAGAAAGAAATATACGATGGTACTAATGTACGTTGCCTGGTTGCGTTTACCATGAATTGGGCAATCTGGGAAATATGAGATACACGCTTTTTGAAACAAAAGATCTCGCATTCGTGAAAGTGTGTGCAAATTTAATTATATTATTTCTGAATCGCTCAAACAACTAACCACCTGGTTGCCATGCATACCGATTCATAAATGAAAACATTCCATGGTTATGATCACAATTATATAACCTATATATAAAATATGTTTTTGAAATGCAGTCCCTCACCCCCTTGGCTATGTTCTCCGAGCATCTCTAATAAATACCCCATCTAAGCGCTGTACTGAATTAGCTAAATTATAAAAAATTCATAGAAGATTGGGCGAAAATCGGTCGTTTTTGGCTTCAACGTTTTTTTGCTCGGAAACGCAAGGGCGATAAGACTTGATTTTCAAGAACGCAGGTCGCTTGGATCAGACAGTTTCTATTGTCTCGAGTCTGTTGTTTTTTGGTGAATATAGAACATGCTCTGTTCCAATAAAGGATTTTGATATGCAAATCGAACAATTTTAATAGTTCCTTATTGTAACGTCTCCTATATAAATAGTCCTCTACTCCCCAGAATTAGACAATGTATTAGCCCAGAATTGACTTTCTGTTCAGCGCGTCTTTGATTGTAGCAATGTTTACGCCACTGTACGAAAATACGCACACTCGCGAATTTGAGAACATTCACTTGAGCGTTTTAGGATAGTGGGAATAGAAGCAAATAGATGGAAATGCCAGTTACATCACTCATGAAGATTGATGATTCGATTGCTGGCCGGGATAGATGTATTTAGTGTTCATTTCTATGCAATATGTCTACACCTGCGATTCTCAATTTCGATGTGTAAAATCATATCGCTGCTGTGGACGGCGACGGCTGACAGATTGTTTTGGTTCTACGGCTCTCTTGGCATGGGCAACTGATTTTTAGGTTTCTGTTTTTTTAATATTCTGATGTTTACTTGGTCGTATTTTGTATATACCACTCAGACACTGACATCAAGTATAAAGTAAACGGGCCGGGACATAGTCAACATGGGACTCTGAAGGCCCCGGAAAAAGCGTCATCTTACAACATTAATGAACGAAATTCACACTCCAATCTCATGCTTCCGAACAATCTGATGTTTATGCTGGATAACAAAGTATGCATGCACTGCAAAATGAAATTAACATACCTATTTAACCGTTGTTGATTTTTGTACAAAATTCCAAGAACACAAAACAAACAACTGACAACAATAAACAAAACAAAAACACTACACAGTCACTGTAGCCACACCAGTAAGAAAAAAATACTGTGGAAACTCATTGCAAATGTAAATACAAAATAAATGTCAGTGAATACAATATTTATTAATTTGCAGCCTCCGTGGACAAGTTCACAGCCTCTAATATTGCAAAACCGTTAGTTGTGAACTGAACTTTAAATCTCATCAGGATTTCCATGTGAAGTTACACAAATAGAAAAAAATGCAATATTAAGGAAAATTGTGCTTTTTGTCAAGGCTATATTCTAATTTCTCTTATTTTGGGGGTATTTTTGTGAGTGTACATGTATGCATTAAAATTAAAATGTAATCATAATACAAATGTAAACAAAATTATTGAATTGCCAAGCCTGTTTATAGAACAAGCCGGTAGGCTGGTTGGCGATCCACTCCGCTCAAAAACAAGCAACATGTTTTCGGCTGTTGCCATGGTGGGGACATGAACGTGAAGCTAACGTCGGTTTATAACTAAAACCGGGCACCGTATACGAAGTTCGCAAAAAAACGTTCAGTCTTTAAAAATCACTTTATTTTATTGCTAGGACGTATATTCTGCTGTTAAATTTATTATTTTGCGATAGTATTTTCTAGATTGAAGGCAGCATTTTATGTTGATACAGTGTAACAATGTTGGCGCCGGTGATCTCTTACGAGTGTGCAACGTAGCCAAAATAAAAAACATATGAACACTGCTATCTGCTATAATACAAGACTGGTAGGAGGTAATAAATTTGGGGAGAAAGTATTCAAAAATCAGTTTTTGGCTGTTGCCATGGCAGCGGTGAGCGAGAATTTTTTTTTCAATTAGTGACGGTACGACCTGCCTGTCAA